CAAATCGAATTTGAGCCCTGCGACCTGCGTAATCTCACAGCCGTCGGCGTTGCGCGAATCCGAGATGGAAATGTATGCTCACGAAAATCTCAATCGACACAAAAAGGGTCTCTTTCGAAAGCGACAGAGCATTCAAAGCATGCTTTCCTGGAGTCGAGTGAGTAGTGAATTGGTTTTGCATTTATTTTTCTTTACTATGTCAGTAGCACCCCGCAATACTCATAAAATTTTACAGAATGCGTCTTTTTTGCGTTGCTCTCTAACAGATCTTTGTTCACTTTTGTATGTATTTTTTTCCGTTTGGGGTTAATGTTATTAATTATATTTCTATAAACTTGTGAGTCTCGTCACTTGATAGTTTATTGACATATTCAAATGAAATCAGTGTAGAGGTTTCAAATAATTTAACGATAAAAGTCTAACGAAATCGAATATCTTCTTAAAGATACCAGATTGGTTACAGCTTTATGTGTATTACCGTGTCGATGACGTTTATGTCTATGTTACATAGAAACACGATGGATGGAGGGTGCGGATTCCTGCATTCTACTATTAACCCATTGCCTTGATTTAACATGAACTGAGAAGAAAAGAGCAATGATCGTAATTCTGTACTCGTTATTCTCTAGTTTATAGGTCTCCCAAAAATTGTGTTTAATAACTTAGTCTCTGTTCCTTTCTACCCAAGGTATATCTTAGGATATACGTCGACACTTGGTCAAACATGCAAACTTTAATCTTTCGTTAACGTTAATCAGCTGAGACATGGTGTATTAAAAATTGAGTGGGCGGTTTTTTTATTTTATAAGTTTTCAGAACGGATAAAGTTCGAATCATTGATTACTGCACCGCGGTCAGCAAGCACCATTATGCATCTTCTGCTTCATCTCCCACACCTTTGAAAATAGTCAGAGCTCGTTGAAAGAAGCGTTTTATTGACTGATTAGAAAAAGACAGAGCTAAAAGAAGACTCGTTTAAATTTCGTCTTTTGAGCCAATAGCAAAATCTTATATAACATGGTTTGGCATGACGAGTGAAAGCCTGGTTCTGCTGTAGTCACTAGTCATAAAATGTACCCTTTTTTCGTAATTACTCTAAGTACGTTATTTGTTGGCTTTGTCTTCACGAAAGCTTCTCCTGTTGGCCGAAATATTGTCGATTTAAGTAATGCGACCGATTTTGACGATCGACCTTAGCCTTGCCCCTACAACACTACAATCAGAACAAAACCGTGCTATTGCCTGTGTCTAAGAATAGTAGCGGTGTTATTGCAATGTCTCAAGAACGTACTTCGTAGTGCTGGCGACGATGAAATGAGGGAGTAGCCAAAAGAGCAAAGATTTCAGAATCTGAAATTTTAAATACATTTTTTGTAGACAAAAAAAATCGATTATGCATCAGTTTCGCGTCTGATCAAGATGTCAGAAATGGCATCGCGTTAGTGAGCTGTTTTGTTGTTAATTGTAAATGTTTATCAGAGTTCAGGAAAAAACGTCTCATTGCTTTTCGCCCTATGACATTGAAATAGAATTAGAATGCTGCTGTAAAGTTCATTCAGAATGAGTATTGGCGTTTATGTTTTGAATTCACCTTTGGTATTTCAGAACGAAATCAAGAAATCGTTGATAATGACGACGGATAAAACGATCAAGAAGGAAGCGTGCGAAGTTTTTAAGCGGATACAAGCGTACATGGGTGACCG